GTAGGCTGGTTGGCTGGTTGAGAAACGATGACAGCTACATCAAGTTTCGTTATGTTAGAACAATAATTTACAAGCGCTTTAGGTAAGTAAGTAAGTAAGTAATGTTAAGGCCGATTTAGACGACACGACTTTTCCCTACAACTATTGCATGCTACCTTCGTAAGTGATCCTTACAACATAGCTACAACTGTCGTGAGGCTATTAATCAATTRTTTAAAATCCCTACGACAGTTGTAGCCATGTCGTAAGGATGACTTACRCAGGTTGCATGCGATGGTTGTAAGCAAAAGTCGTCTAAATCGGCCTTTAATAGTGTGTTTCACTGGTTTATGAAAAAATAGTCTCCAAAAGTAGCCATTTCATTAGCTCTTTATTCCTTATATGTGAATTATATTGCATGAGTTCCTTGGTTCAGTCGATAATAATTTCGATAATAATTCAGGACCATTCAGTTTATTGCTTGGTATATAAAGTAAAAAATTGCGCAGTGTCACACTCTTGACGTCAGAAAATGTTCAAAACTCATGCAAGTGGACACTTGAGCGCAGCGCGGTAATATGATATCAGCACAGTGTGCATGTCCTCTTTTGACACACAGGCAACMAAAGCTAAGCATTGGGCTAGCTGATTTAGCGATATCTATAATCCATGTAAATATATAAATTAAAAATAAGTGAAAACATTTATCTTACTTATTATGTGGTTTTATACTCTGAATTGAAGGCGTAAATTGCCGATTTTTCTTAATATCTCCCCCTCTGTACTTATATCACTGAAAGGCAGGACAAAACCACTAGAAAACATCCAAGATCCAGATCACTTTTCCATCCAAACGTTGCACAGGCTTGTCGAAATAGAGCAGCAAAAACCAGCCATAGTCACCATCAACCGTTTTTCATGTGTAAATCTCAATGCCAAAGCCGAGAAACGTTCAACGGAGATTGAGAGTGGTTTGGATTGATTTTTGGTCTCTTTGGTCATCTTGGGTTGCCTGTGGTGTCAGCGCAGTCAGCGCGCGGGAATTTACACACTGGTGAAAAACGCACTGCGCATGTCCACAGTTTTCCTGCTGCTGAAATCTGCATGATTTCCTTTGTATTAAAGCGATTTTTGTGAAAGTTTTTTACAATTTATAAGCTCGTTCACCGATATGTAAGATTCATATTTCCATCAATCATAGTTCATGATTGGTCCGTTTAGTATGTAGTTTCTATTTTTATCTTGTCATTTCTATTTTGAGAAAATGAGATTTTTCGTAGTGTTTTCTGTGTTGTCGCTGTACGCGAGCGCCCACTRKTGGGAAAGCTGTGGGCATGCGCAGTGCGTTTTTCACCAGTGTCGGCACAATTTGGTAAAACTTTCTGTTTATTTGTTAATGTTGGACATACGCACTCCTCATACCTTTCTAGGTTAATTTAGAAAAAGTGTTTGAATTACAAGGTATAGCAACCCAAGGTCTGTACTCWAATTACATCAGTGGCCATGTAACTGCATACAAGATGAAAACTAGTTTGAATGGTCTTTTATGGCACGGATATCGTGAAAGTAATCAGTCAAAAGAAATGGTACGTATTTGAATCAAAAATCTAAAATAATTGCTTGTTTTTTTATTGTACTCCTCTTATGAATGGCTGAAACAATGAGGGGCAGATCTAGCTGGTTGGTGCAGGTGTTCCTTACATTTTTGCACTTCTCACTCCTCTTTGTTCTTTTTATGGAGTACACCCCTCTCGAGTGTCCTTCACYTCTCCCTGAAGAAAATCCTTGTTCCTCCCCTGACAATATTTCACTTTGTTCAATATGAAACGCGTAAGAGGAGTGAACCCCAAGACGCGACTAACGTAGCAAACGTAAAACGAAACCTCGTGTCGAAATTCTGGTTAGCAAAACTAAGAAGCCTAATCCAAGAGGAGATAATCTGTTTGGCCAAATAAACCGGTGTTTTTGTGTTCAACAAACTTTGATACAAATGAGAGGACGCTGTTTTACCGCCTGTATGGGTTAGAAAATGTTGYAATTGTTTCTTTTTCTTTTTTTCTCGTAGATACTTCCAGGAAACAATGATTCCACCAATGTATCATATAACATATTGAACGGTTCTTGCAGTAAACCTCTTAAAGCACAGTTTGTCAGAATTTACCCTGTTAAATGGTTAAACAATATTTGCATGCGCATTGGACTTTTTGGAGGTAGGTATATCTGGAACAATTCATAAACATAACGATACCTTTTTAAAATACGTTTGATCATTCCCTTCATCTTCACGGCCGACCATTCTATTGTGATCACGGCATCAATATCATTACCAAATAAAGCTGGGTGTTTGGACTATGAGTTGATGAAGAGTAATAGAAAGTATAGAATCGTTAAAGAAACGGTTTGCATCGAATCACTGCCCATTAGAATTGCTAATGTGAAGGTAKAGGTGACTGGGTCGCAGCGCCAAGATATTCCACTCGACCCATTCTATGGTTAACAATTATACACCCTTTTAACAAGTCCCGAGGTACTGAGTTCTCCGCACTTGACGTTAAATTTATTCTTTTGGAATTTTTACAATACAAAAGGAATTCAAAAGAATAAATTTAACGTCGAGTGCGGAGAACACAATACCTCGGGACACAAAAGAGTGTATATTGGTATGGTAATACTTGWGCGTCAAGACCAAACATAGTGTAGTGAAATCAAAATGAAAATAATATCAAAGTCTTGCGAGGCCAAAATACTCGTAATATCAAGCTTGCGAATTTCGCCTCAGTTGTCAAWCACAGAAGAATCAAGACGAGGCGGGTCGCGCCCTGCATAAAGCTCAGTCAATCGTGAAAAACTATTGTCTTTTTCACAAATTCGRCGAGTTTTGTATAAAACATTATTTTTATATTTTCTGCATTATTTTTTAGTTCCAAGTACTTGCTCTTTGTCAAACAACTGTTGCATTACAAATGAATCAGACATCAAAAACTCGACGTCTCCATGTCCTCGTGGTTTCTATAGAGACGGCAATATCTGTTCAGGTATTTTCAAACACGGAGCTGTAAAGTTTTGTATCCGCATTAAATTTTAAGAATACGGGCTCAGCACATATATGCGCTACATATACAAATATCGTCCCTAGCTAGGGTGATTGGATTTATTGTTTTTAAGGAAGGCAGGAACTGTCATTCTATTACTTTGCTTAGCTTTGTTCCTCCTATTCAGTTGTACTATTGTAYGGGCATCTTTCGAGTAGAATTTCCCTACACACTGCACTCTAATTTTATATGGCACTACATTTTTTCCGTGTACTTTGATATTTTTGAGGTGCCATATTAGTCTAATTTAAGACTTCTTTTCATGATTATAGATATYGATGAATGTATCAGTAATATCACGTGTCGTGCTAATTCCACGTGTGTTAACATCCCTGGTTCTTTCAATTGTACCTGTCTGCTTGGTTATCATGGCAACGCTAGTAAATGCATTGACATTAATGAATGCGCCACTGCCAACCATTCCTGCTCGACCCATGCACAGTGCATTAATGTTCCCGGATCATATACTTGTCGCTGTACATCCGGCTATCATGGCAGCGGTCATAAGTGTCTAGATGTTGACGAATGTGGAATGAAYTTAAGAAGTTGCCATAAAAACGCAAGTTGCACCAATACACCAGGGTCTTATACGTGTGATTGCAAAAATGGTTATGAAGGAGATGGACTTAATTGCAAAGGTACGTCGTTCAAACAAGGACGTCAGAGACGGGTTGGGCGGGATGAGGGGGTGTTTTTATGTAAATATAGTTCGCGTTCACACGTGTCCTGCAAGTTACTGGAACAAAAACCTCTGGAACTGTGTTGACGGTAGGACTCAGGTCTACTTTTCCCTGAAAAATTGTAGCAACGTTTCTTGCAATTTTTAARGAACTTACTGTATGACACTATGAGAGCATGCACAATTTTTCTGCAAATAAACTGTTATTATGTATGGAATAGTCTTTCTATAGACTATTACTACACTACTACTATTACATACTATGTATAGTTATTAAATATAATTGATTCCACATCTTACTAATCACTATTTTGTGTTCTAATCTAGATGTGGACGAATGTAAAAGGAGTCATATTTGTCCACGACACGCCGTCTGTACAAACCTTCCCGGTTCGTTTTATTGTGCCTGTACACGTGGGTACCGGTCTTCTAGTGGTAACTGCACAGGTATTCAAAAAAACCGATCCCAGAGTCCTCCCATTCCGTGCATGCAAATCAAGGGGATTTACGTTGGGATAAGCATTTGTGAGCCCAGGAAATGTCTCTATAGCTCCACCTCTTTTTAGATACCGGCCTTTTTCTTGGGAGAATTTGGGAGAAGGTTCTAACTTAATCTTATTATTGAAATTGCTATGGAATCTGCCGATAAATCTCAAAATACTAGCATCTTTCGCAGTTCTAAAGCCTTGCCTTCGCCTAACATTATATGTATTAATGATAGCGTATATGGACCTTAAACTACACTTTCTCGTTTAGCTGACAGTGTTGCTGGTCAATTCACTCACCGTAGGTATCTTGGTATTGCCATTGGTTTGCCTGTAATAGTAATAGTTGTTGTGATATCAGTCTCCTTGGCATACATCGTCACTCGTCGCAGGTAATGATGTGCTTTCACTGTCAGATTTTCTACAATACATATCTGGAAATTTCTTGTTTTGTCCCTCACGGCAGACCTTTTGAGAAGAGGCGAGACGACAGCGCACGAATCCCAGTGCCATTTTTATAACGATTTATAGTATAAGTTCTGTTGTGTTACTTTTACGTCGGCAGCCAGCAGGAAGTYCAACTTTCTGCATTTAAAAGAAGGCAAATTACTCCAACTTCAACTAACACTCAAGATAAAAGGGGCGTTATTAACATGAGACATGTTTTATACTTGTCTCAGAATTCCAATGATGCGTAGCAAAACCTTCGTCGAAAGTCTGTTTTTCACRGGGATAACAGTCTATATACTATGCTATTTTATACGSTTGCCGGTTAAATAAATAACGGGCATTGTATTAAAGATTGCATTTAAGTGTTCTGTCACACGTATGTTAGTCCGTATACATTTCGCTTATGTGAGAAAAGACGATCAAATAGTCATAATGCATAAATTATTCTCTATTTTCAGGCGAAAACGTGTTGTGCGTCGTCCAAAACCTTCGAACCAAACAAGTTCACGTCCACCGAGCACAGTGATTGGTCAAATTGATAAATTGCTATTTGATGATGACCGAAAACTCCGAGATTCGGTCTCATTGAACTCTTTGCAATTTAGTATACCAAGCGTACACCCATCATTAACAGCTTTAAATAATATCACGATAAACAATACGAAAACTTCTCATGAAACATTATAAGGACTTTGATTTGAGAAAATTAGTACTGGTCCACCAGTACAGTGTTGAAGATAAACAGTACCATTGATATTTCCGAGGACAATTTTATGTAACAATAGACTTAAGATCCAATAAAAAATCGAAATATTAGTAAAAGGTTTTGTGCTAATAATGGTCCGCGGTTTTATCACATGTGCACCCCCCGCTAGAAGTTCTGGTTAGGGACTGTGCAATAATTACAAGTAGGATAGGGGGGGCCCAAAGTAAAATTACCTAATGAACAGAGGGGGTGGGCGGTGGGGGGCTTGTGCTTGTGCTTGTTTTATAACCAAGGTTAATAGTTGGGGGGGGGGGGGATTATACGTTATTTCTAATATAGCAGAGGAAATCTTACTGGCCTAATTGACCATCGTAGTTCTGTTTTAAAATGTTTTCGTTCGTAGGATTCATTATTTAAATACTCAGTTTTGTTTCTTCTACGTTTGTTTTGATTTTCCAAAATTAAAAATAACATAAAACAAACGTAGAAGAAACAAAACTGAGTATTTAAACATCGTAGTTCTGTTTTTGATCGTCAACAATTCCTCAAATTTTGGACTACAGAACAATATTCCAAAGATATGGAATATGGAATAATAACATTGAAAATGATCAGCGAACGATTACCGGCCACGCGGGCGTAGCCTGGGAAGGTGTGGCGAAAAAAGTCACTTACTGATGTTTCCGCTGGTCAATTTGAGCCTGCGGTTTTGATTCGAAAAATCGTGTAAACAGTGGGTGCGGGCGAGAACTTGCTTTATTCAACTTTCATTGTGTTTCTCGATCCGATTATACTCGATTCTACAAACAAAGTAAGAAAAACACATTTGGAGGTGGAATTGTTGAGTGGTCTTCGCTTTAGAAGGTAAAATGTCCACAAATAGTATATTGAGAATGTCCATGGAGATGSTTCTTCGTTGCATGATCAACTCGTGCTTATAGCGGTCTCTCATTGTGAAGCTACTACATTATAACAGAATCTACGAAACTTGGCATTAGTATGAAATTGTAGATTGTAGAAATAGGAAATTATTTCTTTGCGTGTTTTGAATAGCAAATCATCTGCACGCCCGCCCAATCGCTCATATCAACAGACACTACGACGACTTTATACGACTTTCCAACCCATCCATTTATCCATTGATTTTTTTTCCACACAAAAAGTGATTTTAAGCTCTATGCAATCTGCCAATGTTCTGTCTATGTTTGATATTTATTCCAAATCAGCATATAACCCTCAAATAAGGTTTTCTTTTTGATGGCGGCGTCTTCTATCGATGCGAACAAGATTATTAACTTATGTTCGTATTTTGCACAATCCTTAAAAAATGGCCGCTTCTAAGTTTTGATTCTTTGCCCTTTGTACGATTGAAAGACACCACAAGTTGTCCACAAAATATCCCGAAGGCATATCAAGTAACATGAGCGAAAATCAATATGTTTTATGATGAAGGGATGAATTCTCTGTGATAATATTAGTGAGTGAATGCATTTAATGATTCGACTTCTAATTTTGTGAGTTTCAACTGTGATAAATCTAGATGAGTCTGATCTGCATCCATGGATCACTTTTTGAAAATCATATTTGCCATTCAGATTGAAATTTTAAGTGCTAGCGAAAATACAAGGCGATAATTATCGAGAATGTCATATTTCCAGAACATTCAATGTAAAACAACCACAAAGCACTCGATTTATTCATTCCACAACCAGCAAAACAAATGCTACATGTAAAAATGAATAACCAATGTAGTTCGATTGGCATAAGAAAAGTATTATTTAGATAACTTATGTTCGTAGTTTTGAATTCATCTGCATAYTATTTCAATCAATTATTCTCTGGTTGAAGTCTTGGGTGATGGAAAATACGCCTAGTCGTAATCATTGTGTTCATTTTAGTGAAGGAATTCATCAGTATACCACATTAAAAGTATATAGTAATAGAGCATAATAAAAGGTATACCTATATGTTGACTAATTGACTACCCACAAATATTGCACACATCTTAACCATTAATAGCAATGTATATTGATCTGTCGTTATAGTATTATACATTTGCATGGAAAAAATTGTTATGAAAATTGAAAATTCAATCAACTTTTTGGAAATTTGTGAATTTTTCATTATGAATAAATTTTCTGTTATGTCATGCTTAGGCAAACAATAAGATTGTTGTTTAATTTCAATTCTGTGATTCAATTAAATGACATCTCAGCATTTCAACTCCTAATGTCATAAGTTGTTCTATTTTCCAGTGATTAGGCCTTCTTGCATAAATAAATAAATAAATAATTTCAAGTATTATTTATAGCAACAAGCTGAAAGTTAACTTGTATTCTAGGGGTTTTCCCTAGATTTTTCCCTGGATTTGAAGTTTTTGTAAGATCAACAACTTCAGCATTTAGTGTTTCTAGTCTCCAGTAGTTCTTAGGCAACACCTAGACTTTAGGATAGAATTCATCTCCATTGTATTTTTCGTTTGATAATATGAAAGAATCATTTAGACAGTGTGTTTATCAAAGATTCTGTTAGAATGTTGTAAAGGGTGGATTAAAAAGGTCCAGTAAGTAGATTAGTATAATACAGTATTATTCACTGGGGGCGGGCTATATCCCCTGCATTTCAAGGTGTGAATGATTTATTTATGGATTAGAACTTTTGGATCAAGTCTAGTATGTAAAACTATCCATCTGGTATATTTCACCTATTGTTTCAATTACTAATTATTGTTTCAATTAATAATCTGAGTGTAAGTAAAATTTATCAATATTATACTTATTTGTTGTGAATTCTCGTGTGCTGATTGGCTGAGGATAGCGTATCAATAAGAAGTCGTTGACAATGTGCTGACACAATTAAGTCACTCTCAGTTGAACAAAAAGAAGGATTTTTACTGATTACCATGTCCAGGCCGACGGTTATAAAATGCAGTTACTTTATTTTTTTTATTTTTTTCCACGTCRCAGTTTAGCAATCCCAAGGAACTCATCATCCAGGGTCCCAAGGTTCGATCCTCAGCTCGAGCACATCTGAAAAATTCTTTTTTTCTTTCTTTCTTTTGAAATATAGACCTGTGTTCTAGTCATGTTCGATTTTTATCGTAGCAATTTGTTTTATAATTAATATTTACGAGCCATGTTTGTTAAATTTTACAAACAAGATGATACTCATCTCTCGAACAACAAACTTTTTCTTTCTTTCTTTTTAAATATAGTTTAGTGTTCTAGTCACCTTGATATTCTGTAGATTTTGTTTAATAATTATTTTCAATTTTACAGAGAATATTATACTCGAATAGCATCGTTACGGCCTTGATTCTCTACTCATTTTTTTCTTTTTAACTGAAATGAAGTTGTTATAGTCATGTTGATTTTTGCTATATATATAATATTCATTTTACAACTATTTTCAAGTCATTATTTTGATTTTTACACATACTCGAATAGTGTCGAACTTAGGATTGCGGGTAAGATTCTCCACTCGAACACTTCTAAGCAATTCTTTTTTCTTTCCTTCTTTTTTTCARTGAAATATACTTATTATTATTTTTCCTGTAGATATTTGTTTTACATATTTTACACGGAAGATCATACTCAAGTAGTGGAGTTGAACTGACGATCTCGGATTCCATTCTCAACTGGAGCAGCTTCTAAACTATTTTTTTCGTTCTTTCTTTCTTTAACTTTAAAATATTCTTTTTTCTTTCTAAAATCCTTTTATGCAAAGCAAAAACTTTCATCTTATAAATCTCTGAGGATAAAGCGAATGCAATCTAAATGCTAAATTTTCGCTGCAATGAYAAAAATATTCCAAAAAAATGATGTGAAAAGATCATACCCAAAATCTATCAAATTGACTGCAGTGCTGTTAAAAATATACATTATATAATTAGCGTAACCTGGACATGGTATGTTTCACCAAATGTTTCTTGTTTTTAGATTAAAATGCAGTAAAAAAAAAAACAAATTGCGCACATTTTTTATGGCATTAAGAGTGTGTTTGACCAAGAAGAGGAAGCTCAAATATCTCAAAACTGCAGTGCGTATTTTGTGAATTTATCCTTATTTTAGAAACTGTTTATATTTTTTTGTAGATTCTGATAAAATGTATTGCCTAATAACTTCCCACCTAGGACATTAGGTAATGTTGAAAGACTTACAATGAAGGTTATTAGACAGGATATTAAAGTCCTCTCAATTACTTCCAGGACTAAGGGCCATTGAATGACTCAACTTAACCTACATGAACCTGTAGGAAAACAACATCTAGTGCATCACACATGTGATAGGGCGGATTTCTTACAAAGTATCAGCTGATTGAATATTTATTTGGTTAGAAATAATGTCTGGGGTTTCTATTAATATCAAAATGAGGGAGTGAGAAGTATACTGTACTGGTTTGAGTTCTTTGATATCAAATTTTTCAAAGTCCAAGGAGTTTGTAAATATTTCAAAGGAAAACTTCAGACTTTGTTCAATGTCCATTTAGGTCCATACATAAGTCTAGGCTTACAGCAAAATGCGAAACGAAACGAAACGAAACGAAACGAAATGGTTTAGAAAACTGTAAATTGCGAAACCATTTCGTTTCGTTTCGTTTCGCAATTTACAATCTGTAAACTGCGAAACCGTTTCGCATTTTACAGATAAAAAAAACTGTAAACTGCGAAATGAAGACATTTCCATGTTTAAACTGCCAAACGTCGACTTTTAAGTCGAAAAAAAAAAATTGTAAACCGTTTCGCAATTTGCAGATTTTACAAAAACTGTAAACTGCGAAACGAAGACATTTCCAAGTTTAAATCCTCTAAAATGCTAAACTTTATCAAAATTTACAGATGGCTATAATATAAACCACCAAACGCCGACTTAAATTTATACTAGTTTAAGTATTTTAAACGGACTTACCCTGTTCTTGGCAGTGTTGGCGATGTTGTTGGTTCAATCGAAGCTATAGGCGCCATTTTGAATACAAAGGAATCCMGTTACAACAAAGGAAACCCGTATTGAACTTTGACCGCCAACAACTTATCAAAATGGGCAAATATTCCATTTTTTTTCCAAAAAATCATAGAATACTTGACGGCTGTAGCCGACTGTAGTCCATTTTTATAATAAAAAACATAAATATGAAAATATAATTTCTTGTCTTTGCTGTTTATGTAGGTGAACATTTTCTAGACCTGAAGTAATAGCCGGTGAGTTTTCTTGTAATGAAATCGTTTCTTGTACAACGCCAACTTCAAACACTGCCATACAACAATGCTTACATTTTACTGCCAAACGTCGAGTTAAATTCTAAACCGTTTCGCAATTTACAGATTTTACAAAAACTGTAAACTGCGAAACGAACCGTTTCGCAATTTACAGATTTTACAAAAACTGTAAACTGCGAAACGAACACATTCCCACGTTTAAATCCTGTAAAATGCCAAACTTTATCGAAATTTACAGATGGCTATAATGTAAATCGCCAAACGCCGACTTAAATTTACGATTTCAAGTATTTTAAACGGACTATAGCTTGGCATTGTTGGCGATGTTGGCTTCATCGAAGCTATTCTAGCACAGGGGGTTGTTGTGTTGCTTTCACGGCGGTGTCAAAGTATTAATTGCGGGGTTCGCGGTTCGAGCCCTCATGAAGCCGTAAATTTTTTCTACTTCATTTCTTGAGACTTTTCAAGACTTTCTTTTTCTTTTCTTTTTTCTTTAATTAGCATAAACAGTTTTATGAATAAAGATTGATTTTTAAAGCCATTTYAATATTTYYCCCCCCTCRTAMATAAAAATAGACAAGGGAGGTAAGTCAGCGATCGAAATGTGCCAACCGGCTCTAAACTACGGCCTACGGTCTAGGCTGGAATATTTTGATCTTCTGACTAAAATTTCTCGGAAAATATTTTTCACTGGAGGCTGAACATTGGTGGCAAGTGAGAATAGGTATTGATCGTGAAGTCTTGAAAAGTCTCAAGAAATGAAGTAGAAAAAATTTACGGCTTCATGAGGGCTCGAACTGCGAACCCCGCAATTAATACTTTGACACCGCCGTGAAAGCAACACAATTGTTGAGCCTGGGCACCCTGTGCTAGAATAGCTTCGATGAAGCCAACATCGCCAACAATGCCAAGCTATAGTCCGTTTAAAATACTTGAAATCGTAAATTTAAGTCGGCGTTTGGCGATTTATATTATAGCCATCTGTAAATTTCGATAAAGTTTGGCATTTTACTGGATTTAAACGTGGGAATGTGTTCGTTTCGCAGTTTACAGTTTTTGTAAAATCTGTAAATTGCGAAACGGTTTAGAATTTAACTCGACGTTTGGCAGTAAAATGTAAGCATTGTTGTATGGCAGTGTTTGAAGTTGGCGTTGTACAAGAAACGATTTCATTACAAGAAAACTCACCGGCTATTACTTCAGGTCTAGAAAGTGTTCACCTACATAAACAGCAAAGACAAGAAATTATATTTTCATATTTATGTTTTTTATTATAAAAATGGACTACAGTCGGCTACAGCCGTCAAGTATTTTATGATTTTTTTGGGGAAAAAAATGGAATATTTGCCCATTTTGATAAGTTGTTGGCGGTCAAAGTTCAATACGGGTTTCCTTTGTTGTAACGGGATTCCTTTGTATTCAAAATGGCGCCTATAGCTTCGATTGAACCAACAACATCGCCAACGGCCAAGAACAGGGTAAGTCCGTTTAAAATACTTAAACTAGTATAAATTTAAGTCGGCGTTTGGTGGTTTATATTATAGCCATCTGTAAATTTTGATAAAGTTTAGCATTTTAGAGGATTTAAACTTGGAAATGTCTTCGTTTCGCAGTTTACAGTTTTTGTAAAATCTGCAAATTGCGAAACGGTTTACAATTTTTTTTTTTCGACTTAAAAGTCGACGTTTGGCAGTTTAAACATGGAACTGTCTTCATTTCGCAGTTTACAGTTTTTTTTATCTGTAAAATGCGAAACGGTTTCGCAGTTTACAGATTGTAAATTGCGAAACGAAACGAAACGAAATGGTTTCGCAATTTACAGTTTTCTAAACCATTTCGTTTCGTTTCGTTTCGTTTCGTTTCGCATTTTGCTGTAAGCCTAAGTCTAAGATTTCATAGTAGTGACCTCACTTTGTTAAGTATACATGTACAGCTGTATAACTTAACATACGTACAATAATAGTCTGAAGTACAAAACAATCAAAGTAGTTGATGAATGTTTAAATTTGAGATTTTTTTCTTAGCTAATTAAGATAAAGACAAAGAATGTCTGCTGAAAGCCCGACCCGTAGCCATGGAAAGCTTAAGCCTGGAGGAAGTGAACCAATATGTATGCTAACAACTTCTGAATGTGAACCAGCAGTGGGTTGCCTTGTGGAAATCCCAAAAGACCATCAACTCAGAGAAAAACTTGGAATTGGTAAAGCATTTGACAGTATACAGCATTATGCATTTGTAGCTGCAACTTCAGCCTTCAAAGATTCTAGCCATGAGACCCATGTGGTGGTTTGTAGAGGCTACACTAACACAGGCAATAAGAAATTCAATATCAAGCCAGGTCACAAGAAATTGGTAGCTCCAGAAATCGGCTCTTCACAAAACTCGACATGGCTGCTTGTTTCCTGTCAAGAAGGGCTCAAGGGATCACGTATGCGAAAGTTCCTCAAAAATTTGCAAATTGTTGATGAAGAAGATCCATCTCAGATATGCAAAAATAACCAAGACCTTGTTGGGATTGGAGTCAAAGATGACAAACTCTTGTATCAGCCATTTAAAATTGTCATAACAGATGACGAAACATTCTGTGTTAGCAGAGAGAGTTTCAAAACTCTAAAACCTGCAGGTCCTGTCTTAGACAAAGAGAAAAACCATGTTCTTGGCTATTACTGGAGCAGAGAAAATAAAATGATTATTTCTTGGTTGGCAAGAGGTTGGTATCATTAAGCAGTTATTTTTCTCAAATTCATGAATAATTTATGAGCACTTTGATAATGTATCTCAGAGGCTTTTATCTAGATATTTTGATACATTGACCTTGATTTTTTACATTATTTTGTTCAACTTTCAAAACAACAGGATTAATTTGTTCTCATGACTACAGATTTCTTATCTTTTTTATTATAAATTTATTTTCCCTTTAGCTTGCTCTCTGTTTCATCATTAAATTTACTTGTGTTTTATTTAATATTATGCACATTTGTATACAAATAGCTTGTATGCAATGCAGTTGTTTGATGTGTAGATTTGGGGAACATTTCCCCTTAAAAATAAATAAAGGCTCTGAAAAGGTGATTATTTTGTTGGTCTTTATTAGAACAGATTTGCTTGTGCTAAATTATTAATGTTCCCATTCTGTATAATACACAGATTTTACATATATCATCATCTTCCTTTTTCAGGTCAAGTTGTTGTTGATATTGCTGATGAAATTGTGTTCATTGATTCTGTTGAAAAGAATGGAGGTAATATATCTTTTAAGTAAATGTTATTATATACAGGTAGTAATGCAGCATCATTAGCCTCCTCCGCAGGCATCACAAAGAATCACGGGCTTCCTGTCTTTTTGGGAGTCAAAAGAGAGACAATGGGGGTGAGAGAGGGGAAGTGTGTGATGCATGCTGCATTTCGACATGCTATTGGACTTCTGCGCAGGTAGCATTCGCACATACAAATCCATTACGTGTAGGGGTCAGTAAGGGCTTTTGATAACCAAAATAAATTTTGCAGGGATCTACTTGGTTATAGTATTTTGATATTTTAAAAGTATTTTAGATACATTGTTATACATTGTTACATTTAGATATATTGTTATTCATTTTCTGTAAAACTCAAGTGAAGTTTGTGATTAGCAATTTCAAGGAGGGTTTTCGAACAGAATCGAAGACAAGCGGAGGTCACGAGCAAGTTTCTCGATCACATGCCAGGAACAAAACAAAACCATGAATTCTAAAACTCCCAAAATAAGCTCAAAATATMCAAATAGACACAAAGGAAGAATGCAGGAATTTTAAATCAACATCAAAGAGCTATATTTGAATTTTTATTGAGTTAAAGGAGTGAAATTCRAACCTTCATTTGCCATTGATCTCAAGAGCATGCAGTTTTTGATTCTAACTTCGCCATGTTCTATATAACAGCAACCACATAATAGAGAGAAAATAGAAAGAGTACAACTCAGAGATGGCATTTAATACATTATTTTACAAAAGAGGTTCAGTATGAACATAAGTATAGAAAATGGACTTCAACGCATATCGTAATACAAACAAAATTTCAAAGTTTGTTACAAAACACGCTTGAGTCTTTTCTCCGACAAAGAGCAAAATAATAACTTACTCRGTCGATTCTCAAAGCTAGGCCCGGACAACTTTCATACATTCTTCTTTTGTTCCTGATCTGGATCCTTTTCTTCAGATTATCAAAACCATTTATTTACATGGCTTAGATGTGCGAATTGCTTTGTAGCATGAAAGTTTTAATTTAGATATTTCTATTTGGCTACAATGGTTTCTCAGTCTGAACGTGTAATAAAATAACTTCTGAGAGGGGCTAGACATATAACGTTTTGTGTGTTAAAGATTCCCTAGGGTACCCCGGTCCAGGACAGTCCACAAGGTGAAGGATGTGGTCCAGACATGTCGATATTCGGCAGGCAACTCCTCCTCAACTTCTTGTTATTCCTTTCTCATCACTAGTCCCTAACAGCCATTATGACCATTACAAAGGAAGCCCAAAGTAGGAAAAAACGAGTTGCCTGGGAAGGAGGGTACAACATCATATAGTTTAAAAAGAATTATTATTAGGCAAACATTGTCAAATACCTCATTTACTGTAGCTACTGTACATGTACAGCTTTTTTTCACAGCTGATTGAGCCATCAATTATGTAGTCCAATAAAAATCCAGGGGCATTGTAGATACTTCACTTATGGTACTTGAAGACTCCCCAACCCTAGCGCCGCTCCCATGGGTTAGGGTCAGGGTCAGGGTCAGGGTCAGGGTCAGGGTTAGGGTTAGGGTTAGAAGAGTGCATGGGAGTGCTAGGGAGCGCTAGGGAGCACTAAGGTGAAGTGCATGTTGTTTGGGGAGTTTTCAAGTACCATACGTGAAGTACCTACCAGGGGCAACTTGAACAGCCAAGCCTTTGCATCAAATCAAGACAAGACAACTTGAGCTTGTAATAATGAATACACACATGCCTGTGAATACTTGAGAAAAGTATTTGTTATGATGCTGACCAGAATGCTGACTGTTATGATGCTGACCAGAATGCTCCCTTGATTTGATGCAAAGAAAGAGTACTTGTTGATTTTAATTGTACTGAAACAAAAGTGAAGTTATGAAGCAATAACTTGCTTACATCCGATACACATAAAAAAATCTACAGACATTTTCACACATACTTTACAGTATTCAAATTTTGAACTAAGTGTAAGCAGACAAGAAATACTGCAACATGCTATCTAAAAAAAGCTTTTGAGCCCAAAATAGAAATAAGTTTGGAATCACAAGTTAGCATTGTTGATGCCAGTCCAAGTCAAAGGCATCATTACCTTTCTCATAATTTTGAAAGTTCTCCATTTAGACTCACATCAAACACTAAAATATACCCCAAAGATATACAATATATATATGTTTAGTTGTATTTAAAGGTTGGTGTCTTATTGGCTTAATTACACAAAAAATGTAAAGTTCTTGAAATCATTATTACAAGTGGATCAGAATACATTATAAACATGGCATAGAAAATATATATTGCATTTTTAAAACGTTTTTGATACAATAGTTATTGAAAATAGAACTAGTGTTCTTTATTTATTTGACATTGATGTGCACAGTTTATTTATGTTGTTAATGCTCATTTTTGTTGAKAAGTGAAAGATCCCTGTCCTCGTTATGAAGGACCTTTTCCACTATTTGTTTTACAGAAGTGGTATCAGATAGAGATAAACAACAAACACAGAGAACCGATCAAAAAGGTCTGTGGCAAAGCCCTTTGCTCTCTGAAACATGCCACTTTAATAAACTGCATGGCTTCTAGTTGGTGCAAATAAGAATGGAATATAAGCCTGTAAAATATGTAGTTRAGGGATCTCTTTAAAACAATCCTCAAATGTGTTAAAAACTTTAAAAGCACAAGATAAATCATAAGCTATGTAAACTCTGTATGCATGCTCTAAAGGTCTGTGCTTTATGTTGCAAATCATTTCATAATTTCTTGAGTACTGCACAATGGATGGTCTTTTAGATATTTTCTCTGTATAAGCTTCATACATTCTTATTGCATGATTCTTATAACTTAAACTACTGCTAAAAAATATCATGCATTCTTGTGGTCATTAAAAATAATACATACGTTTAATGCTTCTATGTCTGTCCACTTCAATCTGTATGTGATCACAGTCTACATGTCACTATAATCTATGATTTGATTTTGTGGTTGTGCAGTTGTCTACTTTTTATTGTCTGTCATTTGCTATGTTTATATTCAAATGTCTTTCTACATATCTACATAATTTATACAGTGTCTGAATGTGTTGTACACTTTGTGAGCATTTCACTTTTCGTTTTCTGTGACATTTTCTCAACAGCATAATAATTTATAATAAATTCTTGATTCTGCTTTGCAGCTGTACAAAAACCTAAAATGAGCATCTATGAGATTGAAATGAATATTTACAGAAAGAATAAAGAAGAAGAGCACACAGAAGTTTCTATGCAAGTATCATCAGGTACACTATACTTTCTACTGTATTGACTATTCTTAGAATTCCAGTACAAATTGATTGTTTATTCTATTGTTTTCTATCCTAGGAACGAGTCTATTGACGCCTATACTGGAATTTTAAGAATAGTCTTGATGATATAGCACCATCGCTATAATGTATTGGGCGTTAATAAGGCTGTTTTTTTTCGGATTAAAACTTAAGATTACAGAATATTCATTAGTCCTAATTTAGTTATAAGTAAAATGCCATGATAGATTTACTTTGTATACAGGGTTCGCGCTAATCCTTGAAATCATTGAAAAGTCCTGGAATTGAAAACTCGTTTTCAAGGGCGCTTGAAAAGGCCTTAAAAATGGGAACAATCGCTAAAACTCCTGGAAAACTCCTTGAATCTGATAAAATTAACACTTTGCTTTTTGCCATTTGGATTGAAATGTGACTATTTTTGGAAATCATCACTGGAAACATTCGCAAACATCAAGAAATATCTTCAAAAATAGTCCTTGAAAATCGCATTTTTGTGCTTAAAAAGTACTTGAAAAATCCTGGAATTTTGTAGTGAAAATGTTGCACGAACCCTGTAGTATATGTTTGTGTTCAAACCGGGCATCAACGTTACCTCAATCGCAGCAGATGAAAAATTTTGATCCTTGCTTTTTTGCTTGAATTTGGTCGCACTTTTTTGGTCCTTATGTTACCAACCCATCTTCACATTCCTTTCTATTGCGTTTTGCTATTTTGTTCTTGAATATACCTTTTTACTTAATATTTACAGTACACAAATTCTATCGTTTATTTTTATATTCGAATTTGTGTATTTTGATATATTCTGCAAATGGCAAAGTTGTCACTCAGTATTATTTTTTGTAATAGATGATCCCTTGGAGAAAMTATGGGAAAAGGACAGTGAATTCAGAAACCAAATTTGTACGAGTTTGGATCGAATGTATAAGATCAAAGGGTCTGTCAAGTACTGGCCAAACCTTGCAGAAGATCTCAAGGTCCAGAGGAAGGAATATGAGAATTTCTCCAAAGGGGAGACGTTCAGCCCATCAGAGAGAATGTTTCGATACATCGAAGCTGCTAAACCTCGTCTAACTATAGAACAACTAATGATTGCTCTGAAGAAATGCGAATTACTTGATCTGCACTGCGTCTTTGAGAACTATATTGATGGTAATGTGTGTCTTGCTGAGACCAATGCAATCACAACGTAACGCTTTTTTGTTGTTTATTAGTTGTCGGAGTTGGCCTCTAGGTAGTAGGGCTAGCTCGTTTGGTTGGTGGGTCGAGAACAAGAGTAGCCTGCGTAGCCAGTCCTTCCTGGTCGCTCTGAGTGAGTTTTCTGGTTTTTTTTTTTTCGGTCCAAACTTACTCGGAGCGGCTAGGAACGTCTGGCTACGCAGACTTAAACAAGACTTAGCACTACCACCAAGTAATTACTCCGACTATTTTATGTGAATGGGCCAGAGGGACGATTTTGTACGCCGATTTACCAATTATGCTGATAAATACGGAAAAATAATAAGAGATTTATTTGTWTATTTTGAACAGGAGGTTACTTAGCTAAAGTCAAATTTGTCTCTGAAATGGGAGCATTTACACCAGKTGTTCTTGGTCAAATAATGGTCAAGATGGATCATTGTATGTACTGGAAGCAACTGGCTACTCAACTTGATATCCCCAAGCGAGTCTTTGAACAGTTCGACGAGGAGTTGGTTAACAATCCAACTCGACAACTGTTGCATCTTGCTCACACTAGAAATACAAAGATAACTGTAGAAGATCTCAAGTCGAAACTAGAAACACTGGACAGGGATGATGTACTAAAGGACTTTAAAGAAGTACCAGGTAATGACACACTAATATCTTTATGGGAAAGAATATATTGCAATGAAAATATGTCAATACTTTTTTCATAGTTGTGATAATAGAAAGTGTACCCAATTTACCACAGTTGGCAAGGTTCTTTGTCGTTCGACTTTAGAAGCCATGTGTGACATTGCGAACTAGTTCTCTCTCTTGCATCCAGAATTAGTTGTCCTTAGCTAAGTCAAAACATAACTACGATTAACTTTGATGTAAAAAAGTCAAAGTAGAAGTTATGTCTTTTGTAGCATAAGGGAAAAGGAGAAGTGCATTCTGATTAGTTTCATTCGACAGCAAAGTTTATTCTATTACGACTAACTGATTATGATAAAAAAGAATAGTGACAGAATAGTATAGGTGAAGCTATGTCCTTTTCTTACAGACAAGATTGGAATCGATGCTCTCTTAAATCACTTTGATGTTACCGAGCACATTGAAGCTAAGCTTAATAGAGAAGACTCTTTCCTCCAAAACTGGCGCCATCTTGCAGAGCTGTATAAAGCTGATGGTTTGATTACCGATGAGGATATCAAAAGCCTTGAGCCTGAGAAGGACAATCGTAGTCCCACTGCAGGCATGGTTCTCTTTGTATTACATAGAGATTCTAKTGCCGTTAAGATGGAAGACCTTGTGGTTCATTGCGCTAAGATACGACGTACAGATTGCCTGAACATTATTTCACGATATCTCAAAGGTATTTATGACAGATATATTCAACTCAAATGCTATTTCGCAATATTAATATGAGACTGCACTGAAAATTCACTGTAACTCTAATTTCAGTCTTTTCATTTATCATTTTGTCCGTTTGGCACGAAGTAATTAGTAATATAATTCTGTATCATAAGTTGCTGTTGGTAGGTGATGATGCTGATGATGATGATGGTGATGACGTGAAAACGGTAGTAATTTTCTGGTTCACCAATCACTTTGAATTTGATTAACTTTAGGTGGCTGGAAGGACATAGACGACATTTTAGAAAGACATCCAGAGCTTGGCTATGGAAAGTCACGAAGCAAGTAGAACTGAAAACAGTTGAAAGTCAAATTACTAGACTTCACCGAGTCTTTAGCTATTCCTCTCCTCTGCACTGAAGAGTTATTTTCGAGATGAAACCCTCCGTATTTGTTTTTTAACTTTAACTAAACGAAATGTGCTACAAAGTAGAGTTTATTAACATATTCTGGCAGCATCTGTTATTTTAGATAGAATATTAATTTATTTTACACAAAAGTAAACTATTTTTAGTTTTTTTAACAAGGTGGAGGGCCATAAAAGGGAATTTAATCAAGTATGGTCAAATTTGTCGCCAAGAAAGACTTACAAAGAAAAATGAGTGGCATTACTGGTCACTGATTGGTTTTATTCCAAGTGGGAAACATATGACTAATTGCATTGCAAAACAAAGTGGACACAGCATTGCTGTGATGCAAATATACATATTTTTTGTTGATTGACATGGTTTTATGTTTCATGACATATTTGAAATTCGAAGCTAGCTATACTTGTAATGATATTCAAACTTCGAACGCCGCCTGATTTTAACATTACTGTTAAAACAAAAAAGTAATCGAATATCCATAAAACTACTCGTAATACCAACAACACAGCATTTGTTTCAAGATAAACTGCAACTGACTTCATCTGCAACTGTAGCATGCAATCTAGATTATTGACGTAACTACTGTAGTTGTATAGCCAAATTGTAGAATATATTTACACAACGCAATTCCTCTTAATAGTATAACATGTAACAGTTTCATGTTTTGATCGACCTCTTTCGTTTCATTTCTTATGAAAAGGTCGGAATAATGTCGTGGCTAACTGGGGACTACAGCAGGCTTCATATGAACACGCCAATGCAAACGAAAGGAATGACTTTTTTCGTTTTCTTTCATCTGAGTTTTCATTTCAGTTTTCGCTTTGATATTGTGAAGAGTTACATTTGCTCTTGCATTTGCATTGGAGTTGATCGTGTGAGCCAGGATCGAGTCTCAGTTGTATTATATTTTATCGTCTTTTCGGTTATTCGCCCGAATACTCCAATTTCGAGTTCTGGTTTGCTTTGTGTTAGTTAGCCTCAAAACCAAGCAACATATTCTTTTGTTTTATTGAGAAAGAAAACGCATCGTGGAATTTGAAAAGAAAGACAATAGAATTGATTTGCAATCTCACATTTTTATTTTCACAATTAGTAGTGTTTTGCGCACAAATGAGTGTAACACAACAATGGAGAATTTGAAACTGGATTATTGCAAACATTTCGGCATTGTTACCACCGGTATGTATTTATCCATATATGCTCATGTAATTTAGTGGCAGATATGTGCCGGTCCTTCACGATATGAAACTAAAAATGTGAACACACGTAATAACACCGGGTAATATTGATCAAGGTATAAACAATATGATGACTTTAACTCGTGGACTGCAAGTTAATCACTATATAGTTAACTTTAAAGTAACTTTTCTGCTATACGCCCATCTCAGACCAGTCGTCGTTCCCAGATTGTCAATAAGATTGCTCTTCATTACTAAAARCTAAAAATTTAATCGAAATTTGAAGTACTTAGAATGACATGGTCTGAAATGGTAAATAAAATACTCGACATTCACTTAAATGCAAAAACATTGTCATAGAGAAATAGAATATTTACTCATTGGTAAAATACGTCAAAAAGACAAAATACGATCCCTTACGCCCAATGATTTCTTTTGCCATTTTATGCGTATGTCTTTTTTAAGGTAMTAATGTTCAATTTCTTGCTGAAGCGATTGGCTATGACAAGGTTTTACATTTAGGTGTACATCAGATAAATTTATGTTTCTGTAGTAATAGTTCCTTTATCTTCTTTTTAAGATCGAACAGGATGAAGATGAATTTTAACATTTTTAGTTTGTCATCACGTGTAAAACACATAAGTTTATAAAATAAATTGTAAATGTTCCTCTGACTCAACCGCAAAAGTTTGAGTTAATTTTTCGCTGCATAAGCATAGCCTAAATCTATGAATTAATGAAGGCGTTTTTCTTTGTTTGTTCTTTTGTCTTGGGGTTGACCAGTAAACTTTGGAGGGAAGGGGTGGGCGAGTTTTGAAAATAAATTTTCTTCAAGGCAAATCTCCAAATCTCCAGTTTTACCAAATAAATTTCAGGTGCTTATGATCTAAAAATATTCGTTACCATCTCCTTTTTGCTGTGCTCGTAGCGATGTTTTACAAATTCTCGCGCTTGACTTCATTCCTTTGTCTTTTCTTTTGTTCTCCAATTACTGCTTACCTTTGCATTTGGTTTGCTGTTAACTAGGGTCACGGCATGTCACGTAGCACTGAACTGATGGCCACAGCAACCGTGGATGAGTGGATTCGAGACCATTTATACCTTTCTTGATCATGTCAAGTAGTTATCTAACGTTAACACGYATCAGTTGGTGGTCTTCATGATTTGCATATGCAATTAACAACAATTTCGTTGATGCATGTTCCCTAGACTGTGACAGGTTTATGCGCTAAGCGTTCTATAACAGTGTGTTTTAGGCTATAATACCATGATCACCTCGGATTCTTTTGTCTTCCGAGGGATGTTTACAAGCGAACATCCCTCCCTCATGAATAGCATGAGGGACGATTACTAGTAATCGTCCCTCATGCATANCTGTTAACTAGGGTCACGGCATGTCACGTAGCACTGAACTGATGGCCACAGCAACCGTGGATGAGTGGATTCGAGACCATTTATACCTTTCTTGATCATGTCAAGTAGTTATCTAACGTTAACACGCATCAGTTGGTGGTCTTCATGATTTGCATATGCAATTAACAACAATTTCGTTGATGCATGTTCCCTAGACTGTGACAGGTTTATGCGCTAAGCGTTCTATAACAGTGTGTTTTAGGCTATAATACTTCTTGTGGTACAAGCTCGTGGTACAAATTATCACTTTATTCTTGTTTCCTCAACTAGTAATGTTTTTACAAATACTAGCTACTGCAGCTTTCACTTTGATCACAAACAAATGACAATGACGTAATCAAATTTGAGAAAACTTCATGACTCAGTAACCTCCAGGCCGGATTTATCAAAGCTTGATAAACAACTGCTGAAAGTTGAAAAGTCTTTAGAAATGAAGGATTTCCACACTTTGATAAAGAAGAAGGCAAAGCAATACGTTGATGACCAATTCGTGCTTGGGTTGATGATTCTTTTGAACTGTTTGAAGGTATGTATGACCATGTACGTGTATGTTTTGCACATTTTGCAAGCTCATCAATAAAAAACAATTGTAGAGAAAAGGACAAATTATCGTAAAAGTATTCAGTTATACATTTGATTTTTATCAATGCAATGTCGTATTGCTGAGATTGATCAAGGTCGAAACAACGAAGGATACTAACAGGAAAGRACAGGAAATATGATAACAGAAGAAGAGTGAGAAGACGGAAATTGCTTTGTTTCCACACAGGCAGCCCAAGCTCATAGTTCAAAATTACAAATTATAATCTTTATGCCTTCTTTACCTTTGTCTTGATGATGAATCAAAAATTCATTAATTTACTAGTTCAAAATCAAAAGGTTCATTTAAAGTAGGCAATTCTCTCCATGACAGATGCGGTATTACTTTTCCAAAGAGCATACGAGTTCCTACATAAAAGTTGCTGGCTCAAGCAAACGTCTTCCACCTAATTACTCGTGACCGGGCCCTTGGCCGGGTCACGACTCAGAAAATGGAGCGCGTATAATTTTGTTGTTTTTTTTCTATGTCAGACCACAGGGTTTAGGTAGGGGATATTTTTTTAAACCCATTTATAATGCATTGTGACACTGAATAAAATAAAAGTAGACCATTTTTTTAAGTAAAAGTTTATTTTTAACTATTATAGGTTCAAAGTCACTGCYTGGGCTCCCTGTGGTCAGACTTTTGCCTTCGGATTTTTGTAGGGGGGATGGGTAGATTTTAATCGTACTCGAAATTTTTTTTCGCCCTCCAGTACTGCAGGATATTTTTTTGTTGTACCAAGCTCTTGCATTATATTTTTTTTACAGTTTGTCACCTAATTTGTCACTGGGGACGGACCATTTGTAGGGGGTGGGTGGTGGATAAGTGAAGACAGGCAGGGTTAGTGTGGACATTTTGGCTGTGCTGCACTTCTCAGGGACCGCGATACATATTTTTCACTCATTTTTGATTGAGGGGCGTAACGGAGGCCAAATATTGAATATTTCATTTGSTTCTAAAAAAAAGTCAGTACTACCCATGCTCGATATTTTTTTTTGGAAATATAGGTGCTGCACGATATTTCTTTTTATGTTGAAGAGCTTGCTCGATATTTTTTTTTGAATTTAACTCACCCCCCATAAAAAATCAAATGGATCGTCCCTAACTGCCCGGGATTTACTGTAGTTTTTTTTAGTAATTCTTTGGTATTCGAGGCTTTTTGTTATTCCAAAACATTCATCTGTGTAAGAGCATGTATTAGGACATTGGTTTAGGTCATAGAGGTTGGTGTATCGAACCAAATAGTTCATATTCCTTGTCGAGATATAAACCGATAACTTCGTAGCTGACGACGTGGCTGTCTGATTCTGAGTTGCATAGATATTTTCTAATTTGATGAGGGATTCCGTCYCTTCTGGTTAAAGAAAACAATGCTATTCACGGATGAGTATTCCTAGATGAAGATTGAAGCGATCATGCTTGGTTTTATACAGCGGGGCCTTCTTGTTTGCGAAGATCGCTCGCCACACGGCGCCGAGCTGTCTGATTTTGATACTGTAGTGAACTGTAGTCCCGGGGGGAGACTCCCCCGGGACTGTAGTATACTTGACCTTTTTAAATTACTACAAAATTCTTACCTTGTTTCACGCGAAAGACTATCAGAGTGAACGATTTGATCGCTACGCGATGTATACCGTGTCTACGCTTTTTTAAAAGCGTAAAAAGATTTGTCAAAAATTATTGTATAACTAGTTCCTTCAAAAGCTGCTGAATATTACATGAAAAGTAATCAACAAGGAGGTTACTTTCACAAAATCACTTCGTGATTTATCAGTATAGATGAACTGCATGCCTTTGGTAGCATTCTTTACATCTAAACCAGACCCTATAGACAGTATATTGCATGGTTGGTCAAACACAAGCCGAAAAAGTACTGAATAAGACAGCACTTTTCAACACCTTTAGTGCACGAGTACACCCTTCATTAAATGGTCGGTCTCATCATCGTACATATGCGTGTCAAATTAAGATTTTTATGTCACGGCCTACGTTTCGACTTCGTGACAACGTAGCCTGCGTTACATCCGGTTTTATTGACAAAATTCGGGGTCTAAAGGTGAATATTTACGTGCCAATTATTCTTAATTCGTGTCTTTTTTCCCCCATTATTCATTGTATATACTAGTATTTTTGCTGTTATTCATTATTCTTTATGATATTTTTTATTTTTTCATTATTCCTTTTTAATTTTTTTCATTATTCCTTAGTTTTATTGATTTCACTTGATTATTTACAGTCAATTTTGAAATAAAACCGGATGTAACGCAGGGTATGACAACTGTGCGAAACAGTACCTTTGTTTCCTATAGTGAAGTCAATAAACCCGTGAAAAAAACTTAGCTATTAAAGTGTGATAGTCAAAGAGACACCAAAGAAAATAATGAGCATAGCACAATTAGAGCATACTAAGGTGTATTAGTGTAATATTTATTTCACGATAGACGCTCTTAGAGCGTGACGTCGGGCTAGCTATTTTGGAAAATTGAGAAAGACAGGATATTACATGGATACGCGAACGACTGAAGATATTTAACACGATAAGATAAAGCTYGTATCTCCAAGCGACCTGGTCATAAATATTCTGTATGTCATATGATTATATATCAAAGTAAATTATGGYGTAGAATACCTTTTTTTACTTCTAATATATAGGGAAAGCAAGAATGCGTTATTTTCACTTGTTGTGTATTAATTAATTAACGTGCTGTTCAAAATTGTAATTGGTTATTCACGCGACACGATATTCTTTTCTGGCGGCTTGGCGCAACGAGTCAACTAGAAATATCGAGCCAGGAGTAATATCCTGTCTTTCTCAATTTTCCAAAATAGYTAGCCCGACTTCACGCTCTTAGAGCGTCTAGTTCAATCAAAATATAAGAAATTCCGGTCGTGTAACCAGCAGATACAGATAGAATAACACTGCAGTACCATGTCTGGGTAATTTAACAATTTTTAATGCAATGTTTAAGAAAAAGAACCTACCTAAAGTATACTTATCGAAGCTTTTTGTACATAGACCAACTTACTAGTCAGAGCCAATATCCAAAAAAGTAACAATGTGCGTCCATCTATAACATTTGGGCTTCAAGTTGTACAAACGCTACCATATAGATAGGAATTAATGATAGGATTTTGAAAGGTAAACCTCAAGTCGGGCGCAAACGGCTAGCCCGACTAATCAATATTATTTATTAGTAAATAGTATTATTAGTTTCACGGATTAAGTGCGTCTACTCTAGAGTACCATGTAGTATACGCTGTAAGGGTGATTAGATAATCCAATTTACTTACCTACTTCCGTACTTCCCTTTCAGTGCATATATTCAGATGTTCATTGTCCTCCCAATAACTATATTATTGTTGATTCAAGAGGAGTAAAACAAGATTGCTTTYCATGTCATAACTGCYACGAAGGARCTGGTCTATTACCGCGATGTGGATCCAAGCTAACAGACCCCGAAAAGAGGATGATTAAATGCAAGTCTTGCATTCCTGGTCAAACGTTCTCTGATGAATACGGTCCGAGTTTTTGCAAACCATGCGATGTTTGTCACCCAAAAGAAAAAGTACTTTCTAATTGTACGATATCCCAGAATGCTAAATGTAGTAAATCCTGTAAAGACGGCTATTACTTTGATAATATTACTACACACGAATGCCAGGAATGTTCCTACTGCTGTAATGACAAGAATAAAGATTATATAATCGAGGAATGTAGGGAGATGCCAAAAGAGAAACAGTGTTCCATACAAAGTGATTGTTCTCCTCCAATCAATACAGCAAAAACTTTAATAACTACAAGCTATATGATAACTACACCACAATTCAAAGATAAAATGATTAAAAAGGAGATAATCATCGGTGCTACAATAGGTGGTGTAATGTTATTAATCATAATCATTTTATACATATTATGGCGTTTTCGACGAACGAGTGAAACACCTGCTGATGAGGAAAGTCAACCTTTACGCTGTCAAACGTGTTTAAACCTAGAAAAATCTTACTTAAATTTACAGTTAGATGTTAAACCAGGTTATGAAGTACAAGAAGGGCAAGGTTTTACAATCACCTGTTCTGTGGAAAAACAACTCAAAYTGGAAACTCTAGAAAATTTGGAAATAAAGTGGATCAAAGATGGAGTGTTGCTGACGGAGTTTGAAAATTCCCCATTACTGTGGAATCCAAAAATGGACATTTTTGACTTTGGAAGTTACAAGTGCCAAATAAAATGCAAATACCATGCGGAATCTAGCATAGGCAAATGCGAAAAAGAAGTATTCATTGATGTCAGACCTGGTGAAGGAAAATGTAAGTTCTCCCACTATAGTGGCTTAAAACTAGAAACAAAATATTGGACAATAAGTAATGATTGTCATATAATTATCTATAAAATACGTATATTTCTCCATTTATATGTAAAGTTGTTATCTTCTCTAGTGAAAATAACACATTCGTGGTATTTCTATATATTTGAGGTAAATAAAAGTTATTTAAAAAAATATTTCCTTTTATAGATAATTATATGATAAACAGAACATTACATGGTTGCTTGGAGATACGAATTTTATCTTCTCGTGTTGAAAATCATCTCCGCGCGCCCATGTGATATCCTCTATAACTAATCCATACACGTAGTCCGAAATAAATATGAAAGGATTTCCAGTTAAGTCCCTTTTCAGTTGTAAATTTCCMTTGCGTTTTCTTCATAAGCTGTTATATCATATCATTTCTCATTTTTGGGGGTTTTCTTTAACAGGTTATCAAAAGATAAGAAATATTATTGGAAGTAAAATTGAAGAGGAAGAGTTCATAGTTCGTATAGTTCCATTTTGGAATGAGATAGCAAAGACATTTGGCTTAGAAGACTATAGGATTACGGCATTGGAAGCATGTGGCCCATATAAAGCAGCACAAGACACATTAAACTACCTTTACTCTTCTACGGACACGACTGTCTATGAATTGCTTAAGTTCTCTAAGGAAAATGATCTTACAGATTTTGTCAAGTTTTTATCTCACGAAATCAGTTTTATTCTCACAGAAAAGGCAAAAGAAACTCAGGACGCGTCTGGAAAGAAAACAAATGAAATAGGAATCACATCAAATTTAAAAGAACAAGGTAGGGTATTATAGGTGATTATATTTCAGTTGCGGAATTTAAATTAGTTTCTATCTTTTGAGAAAGGCCATTTCTGCATTTTGACCTACATGGTCCTGTCATACCTTGCAATGGAAAACTCAGGCCCGGTTCATACGTCGAGCCAGCGTCGCGCCGAACCAAATAGTCAATTTGTGTCGACCCAAATCCATTTGGTACGKMKTTGATTCATACGTCGAACCAAATGCAGTCAAAAGCATAAGAAAAGGTGCGATAACACGCAATTTACACAATTATTATTGTCCAAAACAGATATTTTTGTGAATTAAGTTCGGTACGACGATAGCTCGACGTATGAATCAGCGTCGAGCTTTTGCCGTGCAGCACRACTGACTCTGCCGTGCCAATGCCGTCCTATGGTCTCACCGAACTCAATTATTATTATGATTATTATGATTATTATTATTCAGTATTATTGTAATTATTTACACAGATAAGATGAATACATCTTATCTGTGTAAATAACAATAATAATACTGAATAACATTTTTATATTTTGAATACTTCTTTCGACAGAAAACTCAGAATCAGTGGACAAAGTGAAGAAACGCCCATCTGTTAATCGATCAGTTTCGTACGAGAGCTCTATATGAGGAATGTAAAWTACAAAGGTCTTCATATCAATTTGAACTGAAGCAAGTGTGATCCCGCGCATAGGACTGATCATTCCAAGCCGCAAAGGTGAAGGGCTGCCACTGTTTCAAGTGACCAAATTCATCAGTACAATGTTGCAAAAAAAATAAAATGTCACATCCATCAATCAATGTGTGTTTTTTATGGAAATGCCCAAGTGTATGCAAGTTTAGAGCGTTTTTAAAATCTGATAGTTTATCGCCTAGCACTGACAATAAGCTCGTAACTTCGCATTCCGTTACTATTATCAGTAAAATTCGGCAATATCAGCTATTATAAATTTTGTTAACATTGAACCTAAATAAGAGAATTTGCAACCCATTTTCCCACGGTGATACATCACATGCACTCCGTTGACCACTCACTGGAAAAAATCGCGCGCTTTAAAGGTTGCAAATTGGATGTAAATATGATGTAAGTGTTCAAAATTCTGTAAATTTGATGTAAATCATTTCCATTAAATTTACAGAATTTTGGACACTTATACATCATATTTACATAAAATTTACAATCTTCAAAGCGCGCGATTTTTTCCAGCGAATGTCTATTTTTAAAACAATTCTTTACTGACAAGGATTCAAAATAAGAGGAATAACAGGATTTATTCCAAAGTCACGGGATGTCTGAGTTCACATGAATAATATGACATGTTAGCGATATTGATTTAGTTTGTCTATGTTTRATTTAAATATAGTAAAATTAATGTGTAATTACCTGTGGTAAGCATTGCAWTAGGGCGTTTGGATTACCTGTGCTTTGAACTCCGTATACACGATGATGGCCAGGGATAAAAAAAAATCTATTAATATTTTGCATATCGATAAGTCATGATTAGGACTAATTAGATAACAATCGCTATGTAATTGGWTTTTGAAAATATTTAATTTTTCACAAGAAAATAGCGGGTAACAAATGCTTGAATGCATAAAATAGCACTAAAAATGATCAAAAATAGCTATATATAAAAAATAATTGTGCCTTTCTAACTAACTCTTTCCTATTTGTTTCGTTGATTCACTAGACTGCTATAAAAAAAAAAAACAGTTACACAGTGATCGTTAACTATTCATGCTTTAACGATATACAAAATATGACTAATAGATTTGATATGTTTAGCCTTGCGGCTTTTCAATTTTTTAATATTTCGAAAACTAAATTTTATTGTTCTTGTATCGATAACATTTATAGCAAAGAAAAGCCGTTGTTCTCTTGTTCAAGGCTCAATCTTGCACTTAGGGRATTCAACAAAGCTATTCCTCGAAAAATATCCATATAGATCATCGTCAGGCTGAAAATATGTTATTTTTCATAAATACACTACATACTCGACCCCGTTTTGGATAGGTACGTGCCGCCAGCGGTCTAAATCCCTGACCCTGTTTAAGACACTAAAAASTAAAAATCCATAYCCTGTTCAAGACAAATAGGAAAAATAAGGAATAGCTATCTACGCCGCAACCATCAAAACTGCAATTATACTGACATCCATCAAAGACAATAAGAAGTTTTTGATAACACRTTAATCCTGGGACAGTGAAACGGTATTTCTACTATTTCTACGGTGTTRTGAAAATATTACCCTGKYCARGACACACAAAAAAATTATATCGGTCTCTTTTATCTAAATTGTATACCCTGTTTAAGACAGCAAGGCCAAAAACCATACCCAGGCCAACGGCACGTCCCCGTAGAGCAAATGTATGGGAGTACTCCCCCCACCCCGTACCGGGACACTAACTAGGAAATGGGCTTTCTGTGCATGATGCTTGGCAATGCATGATGGTACGATATTTGGCCTCGTGGGGCATGAATGAGACGACGTTTGGAAGTTTTGTGGCAGTTCACGAATTAAATATCTACACGAGCGAAGGAAAAGTTTATTATTATCTTGAAAGACATCTCTCTCAAGGTATGTTATATTACAGATATTTTCTAAACCTTAAAAAGCTTGCAGTTGTCGTCGTTGTCGACTTTCCTCGTCGTGAACAATATAGTGAGGKTCCGCCATTTTGAAGCTTAATAACTTTTTTCGATTTTCGGGTATTTTTGCGCCTTAGATTTCAAAACATCATATATCAGCCCCAAATAAGTATTTTTCAATTAAACTATTTTACATTCGTATTTCCTTGACAGTGTTTACTTCAGCAACGAAGGTAAAGCGTTGAATGGTTGTCGGTCAGTTGGCAAAAATTGGCAATTAAACATGCAACTTCGCCAACACCAAGTTCCGAAACGTCTCATACCAGCAAACGTATCACAATAATTCGTTTATCTGTGGATATAATAATTGTTATACAGGTGCTATACAGAAGTTTCTCACACAGGGCTTTGAATTCGTCTCCACTTTCCGGGCAATGCTTCTTTGCTTTGCTTCTTTTCATTTTGGCCCCGGCGTAAAACTTATCGATGGAAATCTGAAAGCTATTGTTATTCGAAGTATTATTACACTCATAATGTTCATGTTTYTGCACGTGATTGTTGATAAATGAAAAAAGTTATTTAAAGGCCCAGTGTGCACCATTATGGTTTGGGGCCCTTGGGTAACCATTTTCAGTTTAGCGAAAGTCTATAAATTGTACTGTGCGTTTCGAATCTTTTTAAACGATAATATTAGAATTTTCAATGATCTTACTTCGTTTTGTGGTACTTTTTGTGGTACTTTTTGTGGTACCTTTTGTGGTATATTTGGATACTAGAAGTATTTTGGTGTAAATCATAACAATRAACAGATGCTCGGAAAGCATAATGGTGCAAACTGGGCCTTATACTTCAATATCTCAACATGATAGAGTCAACGAGAACCTCTATGTGGAACTTACCGTGCCCAGATCAAGACTAAGATCTTAAGTTTACAATACTGTTGGACCTGTATAGTCAGGCATGTCGGAATTATGCGCGAAAAAAATCAAAATTRTGCGRAATTTTTTCCCCATATTATGCGGAGAAAATGGTGAATTATGCAGAAAATTATGCGGGATGACGTCATCACAGGAACGTAAACTTTGAAAAATTTTACATATATTTAGGTTATTGTGTTTGTTTTTCATGCAAAACTCTGTTTTTATCTTAGTTACGAAGTACAGAAGGCAGTACCAACAGAAGGAAAGATCTTTTTAGACTTTTTCGTTCTCGCACGCTTTACATCTCACTTGTATCATACGCCATATTGAAATTTGTCACGTGATCTAGTAAGGCACAGGGTGACCAGTAATGCTAGTTCCCAGACTCTTTTCTGATGAAATTTTGAACGCYTGGTACATTTGTTAAGCCCACGAAAACAAAACTATATTCGGAAAATTATAAGCATGYTTGGGAGCGTTTTTTGATCAAAAAAACAGTCAATGGACCACAAAAAACATTAGTAGAAGGCAAGTCATCTTAAAAAATGGTATAACATGAAAAAAAAAACACRAATTATGCGCGATTATGCGCGATTTGGTAAATTATGCGGAAAGGGGGGAATTATGCGAATTTCAAGCATTTTGGTCATCAAGCATTAAATGCCTTTGCATTTCAACTGCAGCGTTTAATAGCAGAGATTGACTTCACTGCAACAGAGAGATTGGAACTAGTAAAATAAGCGCGTTTTTTTACAATGCTGTAATTTTATCGTTGTTCTGGACAAATATTACATACTCTAATATATATAATCTGAAATGATATACACAGGCATTCTGATATAGTGCGRCAAAAAAATGAAAGTTATGCGGCATTTTAACATTAAATTATGTGGCACAAATGTTCAATTATGCGACAAAAATTCCCGATTATGTGGTAAATTGCGCAATATTACGAAATCTTTTTCTCATGKTTATTTTAATTTTTTGTCACAYAAAAACATTTCATTTACGATTCTATGGCTTTTAGTGTTTATCTAATTTAAAACAACAGACTAATGACTTTTTATTGCTTCAAGTTGTAATTTCGGTCCCTAGGGATCGCTAAACTGCAACTTGAAAATAAGTCGCAATTTTTTTCGGCCTGGACGCGGTAAAAAGGCGCGTTTTAGTATAAGAGCAATTTACTCATTTTCATCTCAATATTATCATTATACAAAATGTTCTCTTATCACATACTTGAATAGCCGGCGTCGAAGATCGCGGGTTGGATTCTCGACTTGAGCAGCTTCTGGACACATCTTTTTTTTCTTTCTATCTTTTTTAACTTTTATTAAAATATTCAGAAGAAATATTGCGAAAAGATTATACGCAGAATCTATTAAATCAATCACGATGTTAAGAAATCTTTGGAAGAAAAGAAAAGGAGCTCCRCCATAAAGCTAGCACCAGTTCCCAGACTCTGCTGTCGAGCAAGCAACGCCTTGTAGATAAATGACGAAATCATATTAGACACGTTTGTTTTGATCGAATACTGGGTGGTTTTTCATATATTTTTCACTAAAAAAGGTTTATATCGATAAATTCTAAAATGAAATAGACAGAACTTAATYTATTTTTAATGGGAAACATGTTTTTGTTTCGAAAACTATGCAATTTTGGACTAATTATGYGATTTTTATCTATTATGCGGAAAAATGCGATTTTTAGGTGATTATGCGAAATCGCATCATCACACTATATCAGAATGCCTGAATAAAGTTCTTTAAAGTCCTGTTCTTGGTCCTGAGACATTTCACAGCATGAAAAAACAGATTTAAGTAAGCTTAAAGCTATCTTAAAGATAGAACTCTTCTAGGAAGAAGTCCACGCCAACTTCTTACTGGCAAACTTTCCAGATATTCATCCAAATYTTTTTTAACTCTTGTTAGGGATGATTTCTCCGATGGAAGTTTCTTTAGTCAAATATCCTTTAAGAACAATAACTGCACCACTTTCATCTTCTGAGGCATCACTTTCATCTGATGAAGTATAATCCTTTGTCGAGATGTTTTGAATCTTGCAGCRATCTTCCTGGCTGCAGTCCATATTTTGTAGGGCATTGATCCTTTGCATTTTCTGAAACATGATAAAAAGAAAATGAATGTTTAATTATATTGAAACAGCATATGTAGTTTAATATTAAATTTTGTTTAGGTAGACAAAGTCTCRCAAAATAGCAAGAATACAGTGTGAAATCRATGTCAAATAATTTCAGGTGAATTCCTATTCTGAAAGAACCATTAATTTCAAACGTTAGCRATACAAAAAGGAGTTAAAGTGCATCTAACCCTCTATTTGAAGTAATTTTCGTATAATTCTAGACATAATTTTGATTCTGCGAAAAAAAATGGATTTGGATAAATCCCTGATTTTTAATTACATCTTAACTTTCTYAGTCAATGGGTTCACGGAAGTCGTTTCATTCCAAGAGACTGGAACAGAGAGTGATGTACGCCCATGGATTGGTCTGCGTGAAGTATATGATGGGAACTAGGCGCGAAAGCGACATTTTTCTTTAATTCGTTCCGTCATACGCTTCTTATTTAGTAAATGACCATAAAATTTCGGATATGTCTTCTTCTGATTCAAGTTCTGAATTATCCACAAATTACGATTCACRAGAGTCTTCGGACTTCGAAATTGAGGTTGAAGACAAGACTGACACGGAGAGTACTGCCCTTGTAGGAATTCAGTATACTTTAAATATRCTTTTGAATAATCAAAARGTATACTTCAATAGTACYTTAAGTATACTTAAAGTRCACTTATAAAAGTATACTTTAAGTACTATACTTTTGGTCACTTAAAAAGTATACTGAAAGTATACTGTATGAAAATGAAATACCG